GCAGCTGATATATTTTGTTTTTAATTTATCTAACTCTTTTATTTTGAAATGAATAGACTGGTTCAAGATGTATTATTGTGTTCCTATGAAACAGAATATGTGAAGATTACAGAAGGTAATACTTTTCACTGACTGACAGGGCATTAGAAGATAACCTAGAAAACCCCCAGTTTACAGTGCTTGGGAGCAGCTGGCCAGAAAGTTTGTTATACTGCTCTGCTTGGCAGAAATTCTTCACTGAAAGTGAAAAAGGTCTCACAAGACACAGGGCTAAAGATATAATGCTTCATGTGGAGAAATCTTAGTTAAAAGATTATTCAGTTTTCAAAAGGATTCATTTTATTCTTTATTGTTGCCTTTTGAATGTCCCAAGCGAATCTTGCTTCCACTTCAATTCACACATCAAAAGTGGCACAGATGGCATCATGCATCTATCAAAACACAGAAGTTAAACTGCAATTTTTCTACACTTCCAATATGATTATCAGTGCTTATCTCCATCTCAAAGTATGTTTCCTAAATGTATCAAATTCTAGATTTGGTATTACATTATACATATATTTATAAAGTTATATCCATGCTTTCTCTTGCCTCTACTGTACACTGGTAGAAACAATATACATAAGCACTTGGGATTGAATAATACATAATTAGAATATTTTTTTATTGTTCACTACTGTGCTTGCCTCCATACCTTTGTCCCCATGGACTACTTGAACATTTATTAAAATCTGTCAAATAACCTAATGGTTTTTCTGCCTGCTGTAACAATTGTCAAGTACTATGCTAGGCAATGTGTGATTTTTATTGGTATTTTTACAAATATTCTATGGAAGACTTAAATGAAGCCTGCGGACCACTGGTGGTTCACAGACTACAGCTTGGAAACCCCTATACTACAGTTTATAATTTTATAGATCTAATCGTAGGGGTTGAAGGTCTCTGTAATCCAGGTAGTGCTTCTGTTGTAAGGAAATCACATATATCTACCACTGAGTACAATATCACTAGGGAAATGCAGTTTTTTCCTAGCTAATGTACTAAATGTAGCAATTGCAACAGTGCAACAAAAAACATGGCTGTGCAAGTTCCACAGTCACCTACAATGTAACACACTCACATTACAGGCAACAAGTATTACAACTCACATCGCCTTCCACCTGCCTCATATTTTTTAAAAGTTTTATCATCATAATTTTACTTTTACAGGTGGCGCATTATTCCACTGCATCACCACAATGGAAAATCCCTTTATCACAACCAGAGGCATATAAGCATTTTCTTTGGGTTACTTAGGCATGAAAACATTACAAACACTGATTCTCTCTACTCCATCTCCTTTGTGCTACAAATAACTACCAGAGGTACATATGGGCAGGAATGCTAGTTGTTTTGTTGCCTTATTTGTATAGTTGGTTTACCCAGAAGAGAAACAAAATAAAAAAGCCAAACAGGCAACACAGTTTCCCATCTACAACAATGCCCTGACATTTCATAGCTTTTTCAGTTTGTAGTGAAGACCAGTTCTCCTGAAGCAAGGCTACCCTGGCTTCTTAATTATATATGAATGCAGTACACACAAGTAGCTCTTGGCCCAGACTAGCACAAGTATGGCATAAAAAACCCACAGAAAGAAACTAACACCTGAATGGTCTTACTCAATCTTTTGAACATATACACTCTAAAATTTGCCTACACCAAACAAAATATGAAAATATTTAGCAAGAATAAGTTTCAGTACACTGCCAATGCCTTGCTACCACTCAAGACTGTCTATCTTCAAAGCTGCCAAAACCAAAGCAGCAGCATCATACTGCAGTCACCCTGCTGAGGAGACATGCCAAAAAAAAAAAAAAAAAAGGCAGCAGAAGCAGCTATTACATATGCAATTACTTGCAACAGTAACAAAGTACCGGTAATAATTGTAGCACTGCTCATATCCCTGCCATACAAATACATGCAAGGTGTGGCATATCCAAGCAACCTGAAAGCAGCCTCCAAAACAGACAAAAAGTTTTCCTGAGCATGTAGGTGTAAGAGAAAAGACTCACACCCTATTGAAGTTTCACCCTGTCTGTGATTTAATCATTCAAAACCAAGCAATACAGGTCCCAAAGTGTGCCTGTTGTGTGCACACAAGGGGATGGACACCTGACCCCTTAACATTGGTCCTCAATTAACAGGCCTCAAAAACAGGTTCCCCATCACCCAGAATACACCTCCTTTCTTCAGTCCCCAGTTCATCTATAAATTGATTACCAGCATCATGAACACCATGCTAAATTTGTAAGATGAAAACAGATAAAGAACAGGGGAATAAAGTTTATGCTCTGCCTTTCATTTACAACATGTTTTTAAGCAGGTGCCAGGACACACTGGGTATCCCCCCCCAACCCATACAAGGCTTTAATCCACCCCAGTAGCCCATCCACTGTTGCAGCCTTTTGTTTGTGGAGTGGGGGGGGCTCGTTTCAAGGCATATGAGCCCCCACCCCAAGTCACCACTTTGAACCCTTTCTGCCTGCTTACTGGACACACAGCCAGCCTCCCCCCCCCTCACCCGCCTTGCCATGTTTTGCCAACAATCCCTCCACACCCCTCTCTCTCTCACCCCGGCCCTCCCCCCACCCCTCTCACCGCTCGCGGGGGGGCCGGTTCCAGCAGCACCATCTCGCGCTCCCCTCCCATCCGGCCCCTGGGCGTTGGGGGCAGCAGAGGAGGCCAAGCCCCCCGTCGCTTCCGGGGTGTGTTTGTGTGTGTGTGGAGTGGGGCAACTCTCCCCCCCCCTTTTCCGTCTGCGTGAGGCGAGGGGGGCGTCTCCGGGTGGTACCGGCAGAGTGCAGACCGAGCGGGGGGCGGGGGGGGAGAGTGTGGGAAGGGGCGGGTCAGCGCACTAGACAGGGCCGTGAAGCGTTTCCGGGACCTCGCCCGCCCCGCCCGCCCACTGCCAGGCAGAAGAATTCGACAGGGGATTCTCGAGCAAAGGCCCGACTGGCTGAAAGGAAGGGAGGGGCGGGACCAAGCCCGGCCAGCTGCAGCTCCTCCTCCTCCTCCTCTTGACAGAGATGTTGGGGGGGAGGCCCAATCGCCGCCGCTGCTTCCGAACAGACTTCACTTCCGGTCCCAGATTGGACTTCCAGGAATCCTCCATGTGCGGGGCAGGAGTGGTGGGAATTTGGGGGACGGCTTGGTTAAAACAGACAACGTCGCTCCCTCGCTCTTTTCTGCCTCGCAGGAGGTAGAAAAGGAGCCTGGGTTTTAAAAGAAACACGGGTATTGCGCCATAATTCTCCTCAGATTCAAGGCTTTCCTCTTGGAAAGGCCTCGTGTCAGGTAGAGATCCAACAGATAGCGAGGCAGCAATGGGAAGTGTCGTTCGTCCCCCCCCCCGCTTGTATTTTTAAGAAAACACTCTTTGCCGCAGCGCTTTGAAACAACGGTTTCCCTCAGAGTAGAAAAGAAGCTTCGTAAAGTTGAAAAGGGGACATGAAGTCTGTACACGCCTAAATCCTCACGACAGACAGAAATTCATCAGGGGTAGCCTTCTCCATCTGTAAAGGTACAGAAGAAACCTTTCCCCTCCAATAATGTGTTAAATCCGGCGGGGGCAACCCGTTTTGTTATGGTAGAAGGCATCATTGTTTTAAAGTACATTCACGAAAGCTGTTTTTAAATTTTATTTTGCACTTATCCTACGCCCCACCCTTACCTAGAAGTGAGCCTCACTGAATTCAATAGGACTTACTTAAGAATGGAAACGGTTAAGGTGGCATTGTTGTTTATTTACTTATGGCATTTATATCGCGCCCTTTAGCTAAAATGGTTCTCGGAGCAGCTTTCCAAAACCAGCCCGTGTTGATCCCTATGCATTTCCACTACACTTGGCCGGGGGAGGGCGGGGAGAGATATGCAGCCAGTAACCGGAAATGCAGATTGAAACCCATCACGACTGGGGCCCTTTTAGCCGCCAGTCTCTTGAACTCCGAACATGAATCGCTGAAAAAGTATCGCGAGAGTATGGCTGAGACGCTCGATCAGCTGAGAAACAGTGGACAAGAGGTCGTTTAAAAGACGGGCGATGACCGAGCAACTCAGAGCAGCGCGAGGAGACGGCGTCTGTCCGAATCCCGGGGCTGTAGGGCTGGTTCTGCGAAAGCGGGACTCGAACTGGAAGGGAGCTCGTAGTTTCTAGGAATCTTGGCTTCGGAAGCTTATAGCGGGGTTGTGCGGTCCCTCGCTGTCGGGACTACAAATCCCGTCAGGCTTTGCGATAAGCGGGTCGAATATGCGTAGCCTGCTGGGAGGGGAGAGAGGCTGCGGATTCGGCTGTTGAGAGGGACGTTTGCTGCGTTTATGCTAATGAGCAGCAGCAACAACAACAACAACTCGTTGCCTTAGTATTTCCTGGCGCTCACGTCCGTGGCTTGTATTGTTCATGACGTGTTTCCATTCATTCGTGTGGTTCTGCAGGAAGCAGAGAGCAGATGTGTCTGCGGCTGCTTTTTCCTCTTCAGTGTTCCTGCAGAGCCTCCTCTTTCCTCCCTGCAAAGGCATTTAATATTTTTGCGCTGCAGCTCCCACCATCCTTTGCACACTGGCCTTGCTGGCTGGGGCTGACGGGAGTTGGAGACCAACATCATCTGAGGGCACCAAGTCCCCCAACATTGCCTTTATTGCTCCTGAAAAAAAGGACAGCTCCCCTTGCGTAATTTCTATTTTCTCTCCTATCCTAAAGCGATGGGTTGGTGCCCTTATAATATTTTAAGATGAACAGCCTTGCCTAGATAATGGACTAGATGAGAGCTAACAAACTGAAGCTCAATTCAGATAAGAATTAGACACTTTTAGGTGCCAGGCAAAAATGTTCCTTTTTAACCTGACCTTTGGCTGATTGACATCCAATACCCTTTTAAACGTGCTGTGGAAGGGGGGATTATTGGGTTGTCTTTGTTCTTATTTTAGTATGCATTTTGTGTGTTTTTTATATTGTAATTTTTTGTTGTGAACCACCCTGAGATCTACCTGTATACAGTAGTCTACAAATTTAATAAATAATAATATTGTGTTTACAGCAATAGATGGCATTGAAGGCAGCCATACCTACATAACTGAATGTTCTTGTAACCCTTCTCCTCTCGCTGCCCCCGAACCTTCTTTCTTAATAACTGCTGCATACAAATGATCACCATTATTGTTCTACCTTCAGTGCAAACATCTAGGAAGCTTATGAAGGAGACGCCAACTAAGGGCCAGCTTACACATGTGGTTCAGGTACCATAATTAAGCTACAGGCTTTCTAGGTAACTGAAAGTAGTTTCTGATGAAATGTGTGTTGCATTATATAACTTTATTCAGTGCTATTATTCTAGGAAAAGAGATGCCGGACTAGCCATGAATGCCTCCCTTGTTCTCTTATAAAGGCAATGGCACCCACCTGAGAGGTGCCGGAACTGGGTTCCGGTGAGTTCCAGCTGGAAAATAAAGCCCTGACTTTATTCAAAACAATCAACCCACCCTACTGCAAATCCTCTTTTACTATATCTCTTTTCAGATTAACTCTCCTTCCCCTTTTCGTCCTCTCTTCCAACTATCCTTTATCCAAAGATGACATTTCACTGTTCCTTCCTATCTTACATCCTTCATCTCTCGGGGATGTTTCAGAATGAAATAGCACCTCATTGATCATGCAACATTTCAAATGGAAAATTCTACACGAGATCTTCAGAGGCACTGGCTTATGCTTTAGCTCCATCTTTTAAAACTGTGCTGCAGAAGTTTCTGGCATGAAATTAAGAGTTTCAGGTGTGAGTTAGGAACTGCAAGATTGGAACAGGAGAAGAACGTTGGTACAAGGAACACCAGGGGGGCAGTGAGGGTGACTACTGAAGTGAGAAACAAATATTTGTAATTACTGATACCCTGGTATCAGTAATTAGAGCAGGAAGACACTTTGTGGCCATAACAGCTGGGTTTGTGCTATATCAGCCCATTATTTTAATGAAGCCCATTTGAAGAAGTGGCTGGGGCAGGAATGTCTGGTTAGCATCTACTGGGTTTGCTCAGGAAAATGCCTTGTAAATGAATTCTGTAATCCTGTAATCACACTGGCCATATCCTTCAGCACATCCTTAGTTTTTCCATTAAGGGTCATTCAGACCTTGGAATAAGGAATGGACACTAAGGATATCTGCATTAATCCAAAAATCTAATGCAAATTGCAAAGGGAAAAACACTGGGTAGACCATGAGAGAAATAGTTAATTCCTGCCTGTCATGGTCCCAATCTTGCTCCCCTCAATGACAGCTATTTGCATTTTTATAAAATGTACAATTAAATGCAACAATGCATTTAACATCATGTCTAGTTTGGCCCAGTTGGAAGTTCAGCTGGACATAAGCCAAGAGAAGAGATATGAGCAAGATTAAAATATTGTCTTGTGTCTGCAGAATTTGTGAAGAAAAATAGCAGGGAAGCTGCACAGGACATAGACTACTGAGCTTCACCGTCTTGCATTTGCCACATGTTGCTGTCTTCCGTCCACTTCAGGTAACTCGGTGGCAGAAAATTACTTGCCTTGGTAAAAAGGAAGAGATAATAGCTAGTATCAGTTCTGCTCCAGGCAGTGATTTCAGCTACAGTGGTACCACGGGTTAAGTACTTAATTCATTCCGGAGGTCCGTTCTTAACCTGAAACTGTTCTTAACCTGAAGCACCACTTTAGCTAATGGGGCCTCTTGCTGCTGCCGCGCTGCTGGAGCACGATTTCTGTTCTTATCCTGAAGCAAAGTTCTTAACCTGAAGCACTATTTCTGGGTTAGCGGAGTCTGTAACCTGAAGCATATGTAACCTGAATCATATGTAACCCAAGGTACCACTGTATATAGATTTCTTGCCCCAAATGGGAGAAAATGTAGGCATGAGTTCAGGTTCCTGCAAGGGAAACAAAATCAAACAAGTCCAGGTCCCGGTAAGGTAACATTGATAAGAGAAAGTCCAAAGCTGTGAAGCTCAGACTGAAGTGTCATACAAGCAAGATCAATTTTTGGTATAGTGGCAAGCTGTAGCTCCGCCTCCAATAAGCAAAGACCCTTCGTGTTAAAGAGGCCTGGCTTGCTTCAGTAGCTCCTGACTTAGAAGTTGCATGGGAGACCATGGTTCAGCTGGGCGTTTCTGGGCTCATCTGGAGTGCATGACCACCTTGTGTCAGTAAGGTGCTGCCAGCACTGGTTCCTGTTCTGCTGGATCTTCCCGGGCAGGACAGATGTCAGGAGTCTGTTCTGCTGGCAAATCTCTCTTCCACTCAGATACTATCTTCAAATCCTTGGCCTCATCCGCTGATGATGGAGAGTCAGATTCCAGGGTCACGACATTATCCAACAAGAAGCTTAAAACGATTAATTATGCAAGAGCAAAGTACCACTATCTCCATGTGGAAAGTGAGCTAAACAAATAGCAATAAATATAGTGATAATTGTGCATCCTTCACATTTAAGGATTTAAGCTGTAATGTTTAGTTTGCAGGTGAACATTTTCACATTGTTAATTATTTCACCTGCAGTAATTCAGAGATGGTGGACAGTATAATGATATAGTACTGAAGCATTCTATCAAAGTAAATGAGTCCAAGTAGCTGACACAAGGTGTATTTTGCTCAGCCACAGTGTGATGCTTTGCTAAGTCAGGAAAATCTGGAACTTTATAGCACATATATGAGGACATAAATAAGGTTGGACGTAAGTGTCTTATTCTGAAGTGCTGACAGCACTCCAAGGAGACCACTTTTGTTTTCCATATTCTGAAACAGACTCTAATTACATTCCATAACAAATTAAAGAGAAAAGTAAATTGCCTCCACATAAAACACAGGAAACTGAAAAGTCTGCTCTTGCCCTATCTTCTTACTCATCACACTCTTGGACTGCAAGCGCCAAATGCATTCATGGAGCTAGTAATGAGACATTCCCCATTGTTTCTATTAGATTTTATGAGGTGGAAACCCGGATAGTAGTTACAAAATTGGTTCTATAACCATTAGCCACATCCTCTCCAGTTCCCCATCTTTCCCTCCCCATTTCACACTTCAGCTCATATAATACAATCAGGTAACAGGACTGTGCAACTCAACTTGTTATTCCAGTAATTACTTTCTGTTCATCAAAGAGACACAATTAACAAATGAACTCACACAATATCCTTTACCTAACTAGGTAACATAGACACCTGTATCTCTTTTGCCATTGCTCTTTTATCCATGGCACCAGACAGAGTTACAAGTGCTTGAATCCAGCTTGCTGGCTCCCACAGACATATGGCTGGCCACTCTGAGAACAGGATGCTGGGTTAAATGGGCCATTGGCTTGATCCAGCAGACCCTACTGATGTTCTTGGAGTCTCAGCGGATAATTCCACAGCAGCGAGTCCCCGCTGATCACAAACTGTGCATGTAACATGGGAGTAGGAGAAGAACATTGCATAGCATTAGAGATATCACAGATACACAGGTGTTGGACATTTGGATACTCCATAGATACCCCTCAGTATCTATGACTTGAATTGCATCCAATGTTATGGGACTGCAAGGATACACACACAAAGGAAGTTTCCCTACTGAAGCCCCTAAAAGGGTTTACGTCTCAATAAAGGCATATGGTAGAGGGCTGTGGTAGGACAGGGAAATCAGGTAGATGCAGACTGCATGAGTGAAGCGCTTACAAAGGCAGATTTAGGGGAGCGCAACCAGTTCGCCTGCAGTGGGTGCCATGCCAGGAGGACACGACAGGGGGCACCACAACAGTGATGAACAACAGAAGGCAAGAGGCGGGGGGACACTAAATTTGGTGTCACACAGGGTACCACTGAAATTTTAAAGCCCAAAGTCTGCCGCTGGCTCCTACTCTTGGAAACTGTTTCCACCTGATTCCCCTCCCTCCCACTGTACCTCCTTGCCCTGCATCTTAGGCCTTTCCTGAAGATTCCCTGACCCTCAGGAGGGGGAGGGGGAAATTCCCCTATGTGGGCAACATTGAACATTACTGGATTTAACTATCATGGGGATATATTCACTGGAGGAGCAATCACCTTTTCCCAGTGACAGATGCCAATGAAAAAATGAAATAAGCTAGGAGAAGCACTGCTTTGAAGGAAGTTACACAAGTTAGTAAATACTACACACATTGATTTCCTTTGTATTCCACTTTTAAGAGTCTGTTAAAATGAAGCTCCTGTATATCTTATTTGTGAATGTTATTGATATTGGTCAACTATGTGGTTTATTACAAAATTTCTTTTTTAAAAATGTAAGTAGCCAAGCAGTTATGTCTGTGTTTTTGGAAACACCTTATTTGCCTTCATAGTACCAGCTTTTTTCCATATTAAGGTGCTCAGAAAATTCCTGGCTTCCCACTAGATAAATTGCTTGCTTGTTTTGAAGGAGTTGCAGAAGTAAATTATTTGAGTCCTGGAGCCAATTTTGATCACCAGGGGTTCAGATCAGTTAAGTATCTTTAAGAGTGCAATTCTATAACCACTTGCTTGGGAGAAAGCTCAGCTGAATTCAGTTAAGCTTAATTCTTGTATACACTTGTATAGGATTGTGCTGTTGGTGAATCCAAGCCTTCTGTAGAATGTATTTCTCAAACTACTGAGTAACCACTGCCTTCTGAAATAAAGAAGCCAAAAGTGAACTAAAGTTGGGGCTTTGATACTTCCCTTCTACAAAATTATATTACCTTAATTCCAGGGTCTATATTGCACCAGTCTTTAAGATGGATGCAGGGAAACTAAATCAGAAATGCACATTAAAAGCATATTTTTAAAAGGGAAATGTAATTGTGAGTGGCATTCTGCACATAGATTATGGAATTAAAAATCATATACCTGCTCTTTTGACTGTAGTGTACAACCTGTGCTGTGACACGAGTGCCTGAACAGATTTGAAAGCCTTTCAAACCTGACAGCCTGGCCATGATATACTTTTGTCTTTGCTGACACTAATGTGACATGTCATAAAATGTAGGAGCCCTCAGGTATTTTCTCCTTTTTTTAGAGCCTAATGCCTTTTGCAACAGCGTTTGTGACTCTATATAAATTCTAGTACAGCAGGCACCTACATGGTGACTGCACTGTATTCAGTGATAGACTAATGGCACCTTGGGAACTTAACCACCCTGGTAGTGATCCTGGTAGTGGGTGATCTGGTCATTAGGGATATAAATAGCTAGGTGTGTGACGGGCATTGTTGATGAATTAAAAACTGGTCCTGATAGCATCTGCTTGAGAGTTATTAGAAGAATTCAGATGGGAAATTGCTGATCATCTAACATTATCATTACATGCCCAATCTCTTGAGTGCTGAGAGATTCCAAGGGTTCCAAGCACTGACCCAGGCTCTGGTTTCTTTGGAATGAGGGTCAGCAGAGACTGTGGCATACAGGAATGCTGAGATCCATCTGTCTTGGGAGACAATGGAAGAGTTTGTCGTTGGAAGGTTGCAATGCCTTGGTGTGGCTGTAGAGACTGATGTGGGAGAGACGTTTTGCAGCAGCAGGGGCAGATGAAGGCATCCAGTTGTGCTGCTCCAGATGCACCATGGCATTTCTTCTCTCTGTGCTCCTCCCAGAGGTCGTTTCTCCTCTGGTCCATAGCAATGTATCCATAGCAGTGACCAGAGGTGTCCAGGATATATGGTTTGTTTACACATATATGCAACCTGAGCATAAGCTGGAGGGGCTCCTAGCATTAACACCCCAAGAGATTTTGCTTCTTTCTTAGTCACAGCACTGGATTCCAGCACAGATCAAACAAGGCTCTGTGCCTCAACTTTCTGCTCAGCTCATGCACAACTGCACTGTTCTTTTGAGTACCAGCCAGGTGAGAGGGAAGGCCCACCCATTTGCCCTATGGTACAGAACAACTTCTTTGGTAATGCTAATCATGGTGCATATATAGTTCAGCAATAGAATCCTGTATTAGATTTTAACCCTTGCTGGGTACAGGATCCTGAGAAATGGAAGGAACTCAGGGCATTATGCAGGCTGAATCCCCAAAACCTGCAGTAATATGTAACTTGTTACTAAGATCAGCTTCTGTACTAGAAGAACTAGAATGTAATGGCTTTAAAAATAAATAAATAATGGAACCCTGGGGAAGGTATTTCACGCTGGAAGTTACAGGCCAGTTAACTTAATATCTGTTCTGGTGAAAGTGGTGGAAATAATGGCTTAAAATTGTATTACCAAGCATATAGAAGAAGAAGTCTTTCTATAGCAGATTTTTGAACAAATGAAAAATAAATAAATGAAGAAAAGTCCATTTTTACTTCAGCGTCTTAAACTATACTACATACACCTGATTAAAGGCTCCATTTTGGATAGGTTGATTGGAATTGAAGGTAGATAAATGAATGAATGTTACCTACACATCTGAGACCAATACAGTAAAGTGTGGGAAAAGTCAATGAATGCACAGAACCCCACTACAGATGAAACAAGTGTCTACTACCTAGATCTATGTCACAGAACAGAGGTTTTATAGGACATGTGAGTATTCTTTCTTTATCCTGTTTCCCTAGCTCAGCATGCAGCAAAGGATTAAGAGCTCAGTGCTGTATGTAATTTGGTAGTTGTTGCAAAGGTGCTTTCAGCCTTCCTCCAGAGAGAAAACTATATATAAGATTTCTATTAAAGGCCAACACTTCTACAGCCTTATTAGAATTAGTGATGTTGGTGAAGTTCCTAGTTTGGCACATGAATCTTATCAACTTCTAATGCTCAGCTCTGACTTAAGGCAAGCACTGAGGGATACTAAGGTTCATATTCTGGTCATAGAGCAGACTAGGAGAGACACAAAGAGGGCTGAGCTCAGTTTTTGAGCTCTGTACATCTACAGAATTTAGGGAGGTTGGTCGCCTCTCTCTGGGGTGAGGTAATGGAATTTGCTGATTGAATGTTTAAGCCAAGGATCGCTAACCTTTTTGGGGTCCTGGGCACATCTGCAGTTTGGAAGGAGTGCCCAGGGTACCACCATCACTTCTTTCTCCCCAGGTCATTTCTCCTCTCTTTCAGGTAAACAGAAGGAGAGAAAGAACACAAAACACATTATTACTTTTCCAAGGGGTCTGGACAAAAATCAAATTCAGCAGAATTAAAATGGATCATCTTCAGATTCCAACATGGAATCCCTCAAATATCACCACCATATTAAATTTGACATTGATAGACTGCCCACACATTTGCTGCTTGACAACTCCAAAATCACTGTTGCAAAGCACAGATCCTCATGGATCTTCATGATTTTTACATTGAATAACAACAAGTAAGGTAACACAACTGTCAACACAGATCTACCCTATGATTTGATGGTGGCTTTGAATCAATCTCTTGTAAAAATGAAGGTCCATGTTTTCATGCCATGGCAATGCTGTAAAGACCAGATCTGTGATCAGGGGGAGTCCTCAAAGGCACCATTGTGCTCCTTGGCACCATTTTGATGACCCAACTTTAAGCTGTGTAGCTCTACCTATGCTCAGCCTATGCCTTTGTAAATAAACTCAAATAGCACAAAATGCTATAAACCTCTACTGACCTCCTTCTAAAGGAAATCTTATTTGATTGATGGTCAACCAAAAGATGGCAAGATCCTAGTTTGAGGCAGATAAGTCCTAGCACAAAGATCCTTATAATTTTAAAGAAATATATAAACCTTAATCTGATGCAATTACTATCCATCTAGAATAAGTAAAGTAGTGAAAAAACTGACACATGAAAATAATGAGGAGAATTCAAGGATGCTATACAATGTCTGGAGTAAGAAGAAAATAACTTCCAGACAGCATGCACTCATGATACCACAGGGCTGATGGGAGATGGAAAGAAGTCCATGAGCTATAATCTTATGATGTAGTTGTAGCTTCTTTGTTGATTTTTGCAAGCAGAATGACAGGTTTTAAACAAAAGCACATTGCTATTTTGTCCCTACTTGTGGTGAAAGAGCTTGTGCATTCCATTATCTATGCCACCAAGTTCATAAAATGTAACCTATCAGCTACAAATAGCAGAATACACCATATCCTCCACTATTCCCCATTTCTACCAGATAAGCAATCTACAGAGCAAGACAGAGGAGCAAATGTAGGCTCATTATTCTTCAGGAGAGTAGTTCTCAATTTTGTACTGTATGTGTTCAGGATCTCCGTACTCTTGTGCTTATCACACAGTTGCTAGCACTGATTAAATTATGCAGTTTACAGAAGGGTGCATGCAACATTACAAAAAGATGGTAATAACATTTTTAATTTATCTGTAAGGACAACTTTAACGCAATAATAATTCTGTAGTTCATTTATCTAAATGGGGACCTTATCACATGAGTGATGAGAAGTCAAAATACTGAGAGTGGATAGATCTTAACTCACATGATGGATGGGCAATTCCACACAGTATGACAGCCCCTTGTCTCAGGTCTCTGCTCAGTAACAGAGAAAAATGTTTCTGGAGTGAACGTTGATCACAGTAGAAAGAGAGAATTTCTTCTAGCTTATTATGCTCTCTTCTCTCTGGCAAAAGCCATTTATAACACCAGAGACACACAAGACCTCCTGGAGATATAAAACATGTTATTTAAGGGGTTACACTAAAATATTACACAATTAATCAATCTCTATTTAAAGATGAGAAGCATAACACCTAAAAAGTCCACCACATATTGAGTGGAAACTTATATAAGGCTTCCAAGATGCAAAACCTTTCAGTTTTAAATTTTATAGCCCTCATATTTGTAGAAAGAAATACTGAAAATATCATTGTGCTATATTAGTTCAAAAAATTAGGAAACCATTTTTTTAAATCTGAAAAATGGAGTGATTTCAAAGCAGCCACCAAAATTACAGAGGCATGACATACTCTTGGTTAACCAAAATGTCTGATATGTAACAGTCCGGTTCTACCCATATAGAGTCAATGAAAAAACAATAATAATTTTTAATAATATTTTTATTATTTATACTGGACCCATCTGGTTGGGAATCAATGGCATCTATGTTTCAGGAATAGCCAGTGTCTACTAATTCAAACCTCCTGCCAACCTAGCAGTTCGAAAGCACATCAAAGTGCAAGTAAATAAATAGGTACCACTCTGGCGGGAAGGTAAACGGTGTTTCTGTGCTCTGCTCTGGTTCACCAGATCCGGAATGACCCGGAAGCTGTACGCCGGCTCCCTCGGCCAATAAAGCAAGACGAGCGCCGCAACCCCAGAGTCGGTCACGACTGGACCTAATGGTCAGGGGTCCCTTTACCTTTACCTTTACTAATTCAAACAGCTAGAGAAAAATATTGCAGGGGGAAATGGTCCCACTCGAACTAGTCAAGAATAGATTCTGCGTATGAATATGTATGAACAAGTGCTTGAGGATTTATCTGGAATCAGATAAAATGCTTGAGAATATCAGCTTACAGTTTCTCCTATTACCTTGGGGCAAGAATTGCAAGCCCATGTGAAACAGAAAAAAAGTATTCAAGTGGTTTATAGCACAGCTGTAATTTCCCTTCTTTGGTTTACCTGAGTAGGAGTCTAAAGGCATTTGGAAGCCACGGCATTTGGAATTCACATTGAATTCCTCAACAAGGTTTGGACTTTATGAATACAGCAGAGGCACCTTATTTCTAAAGTCACATTTCAGGTAAAATGGGGACAGCGCTGTTAGGAACAAGGAAATGAAAACATAGTTGAAAATAGTGAGATAATCTTCTGTTCAAGGGGTGTGGGGGACAGAGGAAACTTTGTTTTGTTCATACCTTATTAAAAATAAATAAAAATTCTTTATATATATAAAAAGAAAATAGTGAGCTAATACCTAGCCTAGCCTTTGCCAAGCTGGTGCTGTTCAGAGGCTTTGGTCTACAACTCAATTGTACAAAATGGCCAACATCACAACAAAAAATGAAATTGAAAACCCCAGCAGCCTTCAACTCTCCAGCACCATCTCTTCATTAGGAAACAGGCACTGTGGAGTTACTCTGGAATTTTTCTACTTCTTGAAAAGTGGGGAAATTGAAATTAAATTTAACCATCAGTGTTAAATGCTTTTGTTTATTTAATCAATATGTGTGCTGCCTTTCAATTGAGGCAAGGCAACAAAATAATGTAAAAATAAAACAGCAGATTGAAAATTAGCAGCAACAAAACCTCTCAAATTAAAAGGCTAGGAAAATAAAGCTATGCTCCTAACCATTACTGCCTTCAATAAATCCTGCTGATTCCAAATTATTTATTTGTTGTACATTTCCACTTGTTCTCTTCTGCCTTTGTGAAACTCCATCTGAGGAACCACGCCCCATTCTGGGCACCAACAATTTAAGAAGGGTATTGATAAGCTGGAATGTGTGCAGAGGCGAGCAACAAAGATGATAAAGGGTGTGGAAACCAAGCCTTATGAAGGATGATTGAGGGAATTGGGTATGTTTAGCCAACAGAGGTGACAGAGTTGAGAGGAGATGATAGCCATCTTCAAATATCTGAAGGGCTTTAATATGGGAGATAAAGCATGCTTGTTTTCTCCTGCTCCAGAGGGTAGTACCTGAACCAGTGAGCTCAATTTACAAGGAAGGAGATTCCAACTAAGTATTAGGAAGAACTTTCTGGCAGTAAGAGCTGTTCAACAGTGGAACAGATTCCCTCAGAAGATGGTGGACTCTCCTTCATTGGAGGTTTTAAAGCAGAGGTTGGATGGCCGTTTGTCATGGATGCTTTGTGATTCCTGCATTGCAGGGGGTTGGAGTAGTTGACGCTTGGGCTCCCTTCCATCTTTACAATTCTTTGATTTTGTGTGGTACAATGAGAATCTTAGGTAACTAAGAAATTTAAGCTGTATATAGAAATGCAGGCTAAGTGTTTTTAACAGGGCTGCTCTTGAAAGGAACTCTGAATTGTAGCTCAGCATGAGCTTTCACCTATTTCTAAATGCAGTGATCTTAAGTGGTACTAATGATGTCCAAACTTTTTTCAAAGAGGGCCAGATTTGATGAAGTGAAGGGCTGTAAGGACCAAAGTTGATCTTTTTTTAGGATTGAAGTTGTTGAGCTTTTTTGGGATTTTACCCCAGGAAATAAACTGCCACAGGGGCCGGATTAAACGGACTGGCAGGCCAGATTAGGCCCCCGAAACGGATTTTGGACATGCCTGCCCTATACTAAAGCCTCTCAATCCTCTGTAAGTGATGCCTGCTCCTTAAGAGAAAGTCCAGTTGAGTTGAATGGGACTCACTTCCAAGTAAGACCGCAGCTAGGTTAGTCTATATGGCCATCTACTCCTGGTTTGTGTAGGTTTCACGGTGAAATAATGCTACAATAAACACATCAACCATACAGTACTTACACATTTAGAAGTGCATCCATATGACAATACTGATTTTTGTCTCGCCTAGTAAATGAATACCCTTAGCAAAATTGACACAGAGTGTTCCGTAAGTGCCAGAAGAAGCAACAGTACTAACCTGCTTTCCAAACCTGTACGAAGCTTTTTCGCGTTAGGGTTTGTAGTCATTCCCCACCCCCGGAAAATAATCGTTTATTTCTGTGGCCACCAGGAGGCGCAGCCCAGCCTCCTAATCGCGTCTCAACTTCGTATCTGTTATTAAAGCGGTGGCGGGAGGAGGAGGAGGTGGATTGCTTCTAGTTTACACCACCTATTTGCTTGACTCGTGCTTGGCTGCTGCTTTTGTAGTGTGAAGTTAAGCACTTCCACATTGATTGAAATTAATAATATTTTTAAAACAGCAACAGCACTAAGGCAATTTGTTTCCTGATCGCATAAAATTGGGGGTGGGTTAAATAAACGGCAAAACTAAATCTGCTAATAATAATTCTTCTGTTTTGATCGGTTATTTACATTGTTTTTGCCCTTCCTTGGGAGCAAGCCCCATTGAACATGAAGGGATTTACATGTGCGTAATCACTGCACTGCAATGCAGAAGACAGACTGAAGTCAACAGGAGACAAGCCTTGTAAGGCAGGATTGGCCACTGAACTGGAATTAAAACTTTTTTGCCGCCATGTTGACCACTCAAGTGTGGGGCATTCCAGGGGGAATGCTTGAAAGAACTCTATGGCCAGTGGGACACTCTGGGAATCCCACCTGGAACTCAGTGGTTCTTGAGGGCTCTGCTTCCTCTTCCGTTTCTAGAGCGGGCCTACTAATCCAGCTGAAGCAGCTGAAAGTTAATAGTGTTGTCAGGTGAGGCAAAGTGTATTATTAAGCAGGGCGCTTAGGTCTGCAAAGGAAGAAAGTTTGTGGTGAGCACCCTGTATGTGTTCTACATTTCAGCCTGCAAGTAAGGAATATAAACAGCGGGAGGTAAGTTAAAAATGAATTTCTAAAATGTTCCAAACTAAATGTTAACAGGAGTTCTTAATTCTGGGCTATTTAGAGCTAAAAGTTGCGGAGCCTGTGCTTGCTGGTATTAATGGTTTTTATTCAGCCACATGTAATGGAAGATGCCTTTCCCTTCTATAGTGCCTGTATGTCAGACCGAATTAGCTGATGTCTAGTTTCCATTCAAGGCTATTTCTTCTGTTAGGCTTCTTCTCTTGTTTTGTTCTTGAGGAAGGACCAGACTTGGTTTTTGGAAGGAACGAGTGAGGTCTGCAACAAAATGTTGCTGCATGAAGTTGCCTCTTCAGTGTTCCTGCCCACGGCCTTTTCCAGGGCATCCAACACGCCACCTTCCACTCTGGTTTTTCCTGCTCTCCATGACGGTGGTCGCTGAGCATGTTCAGTCCTCATTTGGCTGTTTAGAACTGGGTTTTCCCACTCCTCTGCCCCTCCCCTCCATTTTTTATATATTTGTACAAACCTCAGAGGTCCCCATAGTATGCTGATGCCTCCCTCTTGTTTTTGTTTTTTTGGGGTGGAGTGGGGTATTTAGGCTACATAAGGTTAGGCACATGAAGAATTAGTGTATATATTAGTATTATTGTAATAGAAAAGCCATGGTCAAGAATCGCAATGGTGGAATTTGGCTTATCTCTCGGTTTGGGAGATTCGTGAGGCTATCAAACACAATAACCAAAGACATTCTTTAGAAACCTCCTATATTTCATGCCCACTTTGGAGACAAAACTGTGTAAGTTATTTAATGATTGGGGCCATATTCTGCTTTAAGTTGAGATACAACTTTCTCTGTATGTGTGTGTTTTCATATGTACTTTCAGATCCTTTAGCAATGTAAAACAGAGAGGTATTTGATTTTGCCAGTGTGGGAATATGTGATATATGTTTGCATTTATGATTTCAATAGTAAAAACAATTAGCTAAGTAAGCTATTTCAACTAGAGAGTGGAAAATTAGTTGCACCATCACATTAAAATAAGCTAGGCACCTGCATTGTTAAAGGGGTCAAGAAGCAGGCTTGTTATCTGTTTGTGGGACCTGAAAACTCCATCCTCCCTTAGGCTGCTATCTGATGCCCGCTTATCCTGAAAAGTCATAGGCTATGATTTGGGAGCTTTGCTAATTGCAGTTAGGGACCAACAATGCAATCCTATTCATGTCTACTCAAAAGTAAGTCCTGCTGAATTCAGTGGGCTTTACTGCCAGGTAAATGTCATCCTTGGCACCCTATAGTTAAGCACTGTTTGGAAGAAGGAACCAGCTGAAGACAGGGTCTCTCCACCCAGGAACATCTGCACGTCTCTGCCGGTCCATTTTTCCAAGCTAGCTCCTAATAAATCTGATTGAGTTCCATTTTGCAAAAAAGGTTGCACAATTGGTTACAAAGTCTCCCCCCTCCTCCCCATGATAGGAAGGTTTATTTTTAACTAAAATCACTTCTGGATTTATTGTTTGGAATGAGTACCAGCAGGAGCCATTTGATGTAAAAAAGACATTTGAGATTAAGCTACATGAAACGTCCGTTGAACTACATTTTTAAAGGAATGTTTCATCAGTGTTAGAGACTTATCTTTTGTACACTACCTGACGACTTGGTAGATAGTGTTTCATGACTAAATTTCTTTTGGAAATGCTGGGAAAGTACAGCATTTAATCTTGCACAAGTTTGGTTCCAGAATATACTGTCGCCGGAATAAATGCAAATATGATTAACTTCATACCTCCTGTTTGAGACAGACGTAAAGCATTACAGTCTTATATATAACACCAGAAGAAGATTTAATCAATAAAATATTTGTTTGATAAATCATATATGCAAATGCTCAGATTATATTAAGGTGCTGAAAAGCTGACCAAAGTATTTGTTAGACTTTTGAGAACTTTGTTCTTGAAAGAGACAAATACTGAAAATATTATTTCACCCTCGAAGTCAGGGATGGAAAACCTGTGGTCCTTCAAATTTTAGCAACAACTCTCACCTCTTTCTATTGGTTATGCTTGCGGGGAATGATAGGAATTGGAATTAAACAACATCTGGAGGGCCATAGGTTCTCTATCCCTGGTCTAAGCAATGTTTTATTTGCTGTTGTGATTATCTTCTGAGTTTCATGGAGCTAGATTGTTCTAAAAGGTTTCTGTACTAATAAGAACTGTTGTTTTCAAAGGCAAAAATGACATATCAATCCTTTAAATAATACTGACTTTTAAGTGATGTTAGACACCAGAAAATAATACTTTAGCTGTGTGTCTTTGCAGTATAATATCTCTATTAGCTCTAAAACACAGCAACCAAGGATGTTTCAGGCCTCTTACCAAAAGAGGTAGCATACAAGTTGGATTAATTAGAAGAAAATTATATCTGGAATTGCCAGACTGTTCTTCTGTCACTGGCACTAGCCTTTCAGGTAGATGCCATGGCAGGGAAGCTGTATGTGGGCTCCTTGGAAGAGGAAAGCCATAATTACACTGAAAATGTGAATTCTGCTTTTTAATTTCAGGAGGGGAATCAAATTTCAAGGAAAGCTGGAACACAGAATAAGCTACCAATGTTCAAGGCCAGGTATGACTTCCTGCTTATCCTCCAGTTTATGACTTTGACATGGATCAGATACATTCACTCAGAGCTGATTACCTTTTGGGTTGGTTCTTTTTGCCAGAGTCATCTAGATCCATTATTGTGTAAATAGCACTTGCAGCTAGAGTTGGCAGCTTTTTTTCTGGAAGGACACATGTGCTTCTAATAGCTACTCAACAGACAGGTATTTAGCCGGCGGATCTTTTGTATAATGTTATGTGCTACGTTTTCATCCAGAGAACGACCAAAGCAGAAAACAGGAGAGAAAGAACTGGAAAACATTGACAAAGTAAAATCCACATTAATTAAACTACAACAGCAACCACCAAAGAACAATTAGTAGTGGTTCCTTGGCAGAAGTCAGCCAGATAGCTATGCTGAAATATGCAACACACAGGAGGTGACCTTGGACTAGCCAATCTCTTGGTCTCACCAATGAGATTGTCTTATGTTACAGGAATGTTTCTAAGGATTTGTGAGATAAAGTACGTGAGTCTTTTTGAATGCTCTAAAAGTTCTATAAAAGCGTGAATGGTTTTTTAAAAAAATGATTGACACCTTAAAGGAATGTAGCCAGCCTACAAACTTAATATCTGGGAAATGCCTTGATTGTATTGTGGCTGCTCTGAGTATAGCACATTGTGGATAAGTGGAAAGGTTGGAAGGTAGTGTTGCCTTTGGAACTAGGTGAGCCTTTAGTTTGGATGCCAGAGGTCTGAATGTGGGCCGCTGTTGATAGGGAAGTTGAGGCAGTCAGCCTTGGGTTGCAGTTTTTAGAACATAGTTATTGTATTTTATGGCCTTTGGGCCCTCCTGCTTTCTTTGTACTTGAATGTATGTGTTATATGTTTTCCAGCTGAGGATAGCACTTCATAAATCTGAAGACTTATGATATTATGAATGTTTCACATGGGGTTGTGCTGTATCTGTTCAGAAGTAAGCCCCTTTGAGATCAGTGGGACTTACCTCCAGGCACATTTTTGTGTAGGATTGTATCTATAGTCTTTAAGATGCTACAGGACTCTTTTTATATATGTATGTCTGCCATAACAGACAAACCTAGCTGCCATCTACCTCTCTCTAGAATTGGTTTATTATTCTATTTTACTATGGTGGGCACTTTTGGGATTTCCTGCCTCCTCCAGCAAAATCTCTTGAGCCATCTCTGGTATTGAGCCAGGAACTGGTGGTACTGTTATCAAGTACCTTCCTAATTTCTCATCACCATCTATTTACTTGTCTGCTACTTTCCCACAGAATTGTGTCCAAAGTGGCTTGCAACCTACAAAATGAAATATTAAAAATATATTGCAAAGAATTGCAAATTTCCATAGTATCAACCAAAAAATCCAAAGAACCCCAAATCCACAAAACATAGTATGAAACAATACAAATGATCTAATCTAACTTAACAGCTTAAAACTAAACTAAAAATTTCTTCAACTTGATTCCAGCCTTGTATGTTGTTGTTTTTTTTGAAGAGCAGAAATGGTTAAGAAAAAGTGGAATTCCTCACCTCCGATTCCATTTCTTTCAAGAATTCACTGTACATTTATCCAAACCTTGCTGTGTAATGAGTTATTGATTTCTACCATTTGGCCACTCTGTTATATGTACATACACACATGAACTCAACTAAAGAACCCATTCAGTGAGTGGGGGCAAGTTCAGAGTAATTACACAGCTGTTCTTTAATGCTTAAAATTATCTCTATTGTGTCTGGGCTCTTAATGGCTGCAAAAGTAACAAATGTGAATAGCTTTAAGGAAAGCGACATGATGAACAACTTCCATTTTGGAGAGAGCAGCACACGTAATATAAACACCAGCTAAAATTCAGCACTGAAGGGGAGGATAGCACAAAGGCCGAAGTGCAATCAGTGCTGCTGTGAGTACCCGCCTTCCAGCAGCTCAATCAGCACTTTGATATTGCAGCATCCTTTTCTGAGCCCTGCAAAAACCAGAAGGAATAGCAAATTGGCTTCAGCTTAAGGTGATGCGTGGGCTAAAAGCACACATATATATATTTTTAAAAATGCTTAGCATATATTGTACACTTAAGAACAACACATAATGCTTGAGCGCCGCAACCCCAGAGTCCTCCGTGACTGGACTTAACAGTAAGGGGTCTCTTTACCTTTTTAAACAGAAAATGGCCAAGGGCTAATCTGCTGTTCTTGCTGCTAGCTACCAACTTTTATTCTACTGAAAGCAGGGTATGTGTGTGTGCTAAAAGTATGTACCCTAAGCTTATCTGCATTGTAAAATGATGGTTCATATTTGTCATATGTTAGTTGCTTTGCAAATTTCCATCTGAAAGTGGACTAGGCCACAGCAGAATGCAAGCAGGCTTCTATCTTCTTCACTTCCTTGCAAAGCTGTGCTTTCAACAACTACCTTACATGTAGATGTTTAGCAGGTAATGCTTTCCTGGCATCCAGATGCAGTGATTAGAAGATAATCACAGGAGCATGACAAGGGAGAGTTGGTAGGCTTGCAGTGCCACCCTATGTGTGTCTATTCAGAAGTAAATACCATGGAGTTTAAGGGGACTTATTCCCAGGTAAGTGTGTATGCTAAAGATTGCAGCCTTAGCCTATAATACTTAACAAATTCACCAAACATTAAGTCATGTTGAACTCAGTAGGACTCAGTTTCTTGGTAAATGTTCTTCAAAATGCATAAAAGAAAAAAAGAGAACCGACATGAATTCATCTTCTAAAGGCAGAGCTTTGCTAAGTTTCTATTTCTATTTTTCTTTCTTATTCCACTTACAAAAGCTGGAGACCAGGGCAACATTTTAAAGTTAAATAAGCCAGCAAGAGTTGTTAGTGCATTTACCATTACACAGATCTCCTCCTCCCTCCCTACACTGTGTAATGGTAATATTTTCCTGGGAAAACAAGTTCATAGGAAAATAATACAGCTCTTCTCAAACATTTACTCAGATGACCTGCAGCAAAGCGATATGGGGAAAGAATTTTAAGTAGCACCTGTAGTCAACAGTATATTTAAATGCTTTTTTCCTCCCAGAGATGAATGGATCCTCACTGGTGAAAGAGAGAGGCCAATCCTATGCAAATATTGGATATATTTTTTTTCCTCAGCATGGAGCCATCAACTGCATTTTGGGTGTGAAGAATTTTAAGAACTAGAAATGAGCAGGGGAGAGTAAAGCCACCTGCTTACAGAAAAATGCTAAACATGTTTTAGGCAGCTCCATAGAATTATCTATGGTGTTGGGGCCCATCTTAGCTATTAAGATGGTTGTGCACATTTCAAAGCAACCTATGTAGAGTATGCAGGAGCAGTCACAACAATAATGTTTGTTGTTCCTGCTGTTGCAATTTGTACACCTCTTTAAGTGCTGTTTGCAATATAATTTGCAGTCTTTTTTTTAAACAAGTATCTAAAAGTTAAGCATTTTCTTCACTTCTTTGTTGGAAGTGAGTTCAAAAAAGTTTATTTTCATTGTAATCAATACTGTGGTTTCTAAAGTGTATGGCACCCAGGGCAGCGTCCCAGAAGATCACCCAAACACTTGGAGAGGTCTATCTGGAATAAAAATATTAGTGTTTTTTTTAAAAAATTGTTTTAGTGATTTTCCATTTTTATGGTAACAACAATAAACAAGCAACAGTAAACATGAAAAAACTGCAAAGTAACCACAGTGTCATTTGCCAACATTTCATTCCTGAGATTAATTTAGTAGATTCCCTTGTGTCAAAGGTGGGTTCTGAACATTGCTCTTTTGTTGTATGAAATCAATGAACGGTTGCCAAGTACAGTATTATAGGGGTTTGAATTCCACTAAAATCAACACCTAATTGAACTACACCTCCCTGAAAAGACATCAGTGTTTGAAATGTGCTTTTTAGGAAGGGGACTTGCCTTTCACTGGGCAGTAAACAGAAGCTATCGTTAGGGTTGTAGAGTTAAGCTCCCCTTTGGCATCTTGGGGAGCAAAGTTCAACAAGTGTGAAATAAAGATTACAACCCCCTTGCTTTGGAAGATCCTGCAGAGCTGTACATCATAGCCTTGTCAATGGATTTTTTTACTACGCATCTTTGCAAACATATAAAACCAGTTTTTCTTCTTTTTGGAGCAAAGACTCCATTCTATGGTGCTTGACAGGGTTGCCCATGCCATATACCAGTACATTGAAATGCCCTTTTAAATGTGTCCTTCAGGATTCCATATGGTAGGATCTGTTAACAAGTGACATCATGCTAATGCGAGGTCCTCCTGTCATTCTGCTCCTTGAAAGGCAGACCTTGGGAGAGAGGATTTGAAACTGGATAATAGGCATAGTAATGCGGTTAATCAACTAACTTACTTTAACAAACATTTGAACACTTAACAGTGAAACAACAAAACCAGGTTGTACCACAAATGGTGGAGGGAGTAGGGTTCTTCTCTCCCCCTTGGGCCATTCTTACTGGCAACCAACAAATGGAGGGGTATCAGTAAACCAACCATAATGAATGAATAGACCCTCTCCAAGTAGCGTCCAATTCCAAGGCTGCATATTGATCACTCATAGAGTAATTTCCAGTTTTACAAAAGTATTGTTGTTGTTTAGTCGTTTAGTCGTGTCCGACTCTTCGTGACCCCATGGACCAGAGCACGCCAGGCACCTCTGTCCTCCACTACCTCCCGCAGTTTGGTCAAACTCATGCTGGTAACCTCAAAAACGCTATCCAACCATCTCGTCCTCTGTCGCCCCCTTCTCCTTGTGCCCTCCATCTTTCCCAGCATCAGTGTCTTCTCCAGGGAGTCTTCTCTTCTCATGAGGTGGCCAAAGTACTGGAGCCTCAGCTTCACGATCTGTCCTTCCAGTGAGCACTCAGGTCTGATTTCCTTAAGAATGGATGCATTTGATCTTCTTGCCGTCCATGGGACTCTCAAGAGTCTTCTCCAGCACCATAATTCAAAAGCATCAATTCTTCGGCGATCAGCCTTCTTTATGGTCCAGCTCTCACTTC